TTAATGTTGGAACAGGTTGTGACAAAGGGCCAGTACGATTCACTGCTTCACAAGTGGGAACTGTAATCAGACGGATGTCAGGGGGGAAGTCCCCTGGTCACGACAGTCTCAGCATTGAGCATCTGAGGCATGCTGGTGTTCATCTTCCCAGGGTACTGGCCATGTTCTATTCCCTGTGTTTATCGCATTCATATTTGCCGGATGATATGTTGAGAACATTGGTGATTCCTATTGCTAAAAAAAAATTGGAGATCTATCGGATGCGCCTAATTATCGTCCCATTTCACTGGCGACTGTGCTGGCGAAGGTGTTGGACTGTCTGCTCGATCAGCAGCTTGATCAATACATACAATTTCATGATGCGCAGTTTGGGTTCAGACCCAAGCTATCCACTGAAAGTGCCATATTATGTCTAAAGCAGACTGTCCAATACTACATTGCGAGGGGAACACCAGTATATGCCTGCTTCCTTGATCTATCGAAGGCGTTTGATCTCGTGGCTTATGAAATATTGTGGAATAAGCTGCGGGAAGTGGGTACGCCGAATGAAGTCGTGGATATTCTTCGATATTGGTATGCTCATCAGCGCAACAATGTCAAGTGGAACGAAGAGATGTCTGACACTTATGGATTGGAGTGTGGGGTGAGGCAGGGAGGGATTACCTCTCCCAGACTTTTCAATCTTTATGTGAATGAGTTAATCGTTGGGCTCAGCAATAAAACAGTTGGATGTTCTATAGACGGAGTCACTGTCAATAACATAAGTTATGCGGACGACATGGTGCTGCTGGGTCCAACGGCCGGCTCAATCAGACAGCTTCTAAAAGTGTGTGAACAGTATGCGACCAGTCACGGTCTTATCTATAATGTCAGAAAGAGTGAGTACCTGATCTTTGGTGTCAGAGGTAAGAAAATGGTTTATGACCCAATCATCAAGTTGAACGGCACTCCCCTTAACAGGGTGAAACAATTTAAATATTTGGGTCATTACGTTGTCGAAGACCTCAGGGATCAGGTGGACATTGAGAGGGAGCGACGCGCCATGGCGGCTCGTTGTAATATGTTGGCCCAGAGGTTTGCTCGATGTAGTAAGTTGGCCAAAATTACACTTTTCAAGTCTTACTGTCAGTCCTTCTACACGAGCGCGCTTTAGACCAACTATACTCAAGCGGCATTAAACTCGTTCAGAGTTCAGTATAATAATGGTTTCAGAGTGCTGATGGGATTACCACGTTCCTGCAGCGCCTCAAGCATGTTCGCTGAAGCGCGAACGGACGATTTCTTTGCAATGATGCGAAAGAAAACAGCATCCTTATTGACAAACGTACAGGAAAGCTCCAACAGCATTCTGAAAGTATTATGTTGTAAACACGAATCGCCAATCTTTAGGCATTTCTCACTTGTGACTATGAGACCAAATGAGGAATGGCTAAAGAAATAACATCTTAATATTTTAAAATTAAATTTGTAATTACTAACATAGGTTTTTAAGTTAATATGTAATCTACTAATAAATGAGCCTTAGTTGCTAAATAAATGAATTTATTATTACTATTATTATATTATTATTGCCCTGATAATCAAGAAAAGTCTTTTTATTTTCAAAGGCGTTGCGCACTAGCTTAAGCATATGGCATGCGTCGAGGAATACTGCTACTTCGTAGTAAGCACTGGGATGTTTAAAGGTAGTCCGCATGTTCTGAGGTTCTAATGAACATCCTAACTTTTTAAGCATAGCCATATTTGCAGCGCAACCGTCCACCGTAAGTGAAACAACGTCTACGCCATTTTCTTGACATTTGTAAAGGCATTGTTGAACGATCGAACACCGTTGTTCCCCGGTCATAGAATGAATTAGAAAGAATCCTATAGGTAATTTCCACCGTTCAGTTTGAGATACAAGCAACAGAACTAAAGCCTGGGATGCGTGATCCAAATTATCCTTTTGCACGTTATTAAGCCCGAGATCAACATAACCGTGATATTGGTTTACGTCCCATTCAACGTGCTTCTTAATAGCCATCTCATCCATCATAAGACTGCACAAAGCACGTTTGCCTGAGGAATCGGTTTTGTGCTTTAATATGTTAAAAGCTTCAGCTGTAAATCCAGCTTCACCATTAACACTTTCATACCATTTAAAAATGGTTCTCGGATGTGGTAGACATGTATCGAAAGTTTTTCTGACGTATGAGTACGCATTTGGGGAAAAATAATAAAGCGTTAGAGCGAATGATCTGAGGGCTGGAGAATACTTCTTCTTCAAAGCAACTTTTTTAATTTTTGATAACTGACGCCCAACCAAGTCTTTTAACTTAACATTTAATGAAGACAAAATTTCGGCATCCTCTCCAAGCAGCAAATGTTTCTTTTCCAACTCTTCAATTAATGCAGTTAAATTTTGAACCTAAAATTAAAGTGAAAACATAATGGATTGAGAAAAAAAAGATCTAAAGTTAGTACGTGAGATGAAAATACCTTACGCGCGTCTCTTAATAACATCTTAGGTTCGTCATACCATAATTAAGGACTACACTCGACTGCGGACGAATGCGGCGAGATGAATACAGACGACGGAAGCTGCTATTGCACCTTGCCAGAAACTTGAACTTGCGCGCAGATAAATTGTATGCTACTAGAATGTGTAGGTACCTTTTTTTTCAAACGTTTAAGTTCATTTGAAGTCTTCTGATTTTTAATCCACCTTTTTTTTGCTTTCCATCGAAGTTGCTCTATTTCTTGCTTCAACTTTTTTTTCTTGGGCGTATCGTGTAGTATCAAAAATTCATTCAAATCACTTGTGGTAGGCTCGAGTGATGGTATTGTAGGCTCTAATAACCTTCTATTAACCTGTAATATAACATTATAACAAATATAATATTTTAAAATTAACTTGTTCTTCCAAAAAACTGAAAATTGTTTTTTAAATACGAATTGCATTGTAATGAACCGATATATCCAGTTTTAAAGAAGGTAAACTTCCCTTCTTTAATTTTTCAAGACCTTTTTTTGTCATGACAAAGTCTTCATCATTAAAATGGCAAGAACAAATTTTTGTATGCTATGTTGGAGTCCAGTCTCGTCTATTAATTTTTCTCATCCATTGTTGTTTAAGATTATCATCCGATGGAAATCTGCAACATAATTTAAAATCAAATAACCTAGAATAACTTTTTTGTGTACATACTAAAACATTTTATTTAAAGTAAGTTTTATTTTATTAATAACAAAATGACTGTTTCGTTAAGCAAAACTTTTTAAGTATTTCCAATTTATGTTATAAGACTGCGTTCCTCGGTAAAATTCTAGGAATCTAATTACAACCTTGTCTTTTCTAACTTCTATGTTTACGTAGCGTTGGCCGCCATCTAGTGTTAAATGGATTAATTATATTTGGACGCCTACTGAAATTGTTCTGGAACTTTAAATAAATTACGTATACAATTACTTACACATGAAATATAATGCCATCCATAGCATCAGATCGTCTATCCGAGTAGTTTTTACACGATAAAACGCAATACTTCATAGTTTTCTTCTTAGTAATACAAAACTACACTAATTATGCTAATGTCAATCACGTGGACCTCACACTACCAACACGAACGAACGCTGGCAGCATACTAACTTAAGCCACGCCTACTTTGATGACGTCAGGACCTACTTGGGAATCACAGTGCACAGTTGCTTAGGCCATCTCCTCTTTGTATTAGCTCCGTGGTCTTATAGGACATTGTAAGATATGAATAAAAATATATTATATCACTGATAATTGTATTTATTTATTATGATCACATAAGCACATTTTACAGTTTGCTTCATACACACAAGTGACAACCCAAAACTATATGGTGTTGCCAGACCTATGTTCATGGGGCTCCCTGACAGACATCTAGATCAAAACCGATATTGAAGATTAAAAAAATAAAGATAAATGTTTCGTTCTCTTTTTTAGTCTGTAATTTAGGGATGTGAGATTAATAGAAAATAATCGATTTAATAAAAATCGATTTTCTTTTATAAATTATAAATCGATTTGTCAATAATCGATTTTAATGAAAATAAATAATCGATTTTTGCGAAGAAATCGATTTTTTAAAATCCTACATGCTTTGCATATTCCAATAATAAACCTAAAAGATTCATATTAACAATTAATCAGATTAAAAAAAAATAATATGAATAAAAAAATTGACACTTCAAAACTAAAAATCAAAGCAAATGTTCTTTTAAACTTTCAAGGTAAGGAATAATAAAACCAAATATCATTATTGATAGAAATTCTCAGTATCTTTAAACGTTATATAATAATAAAAATGAGCACCCCAACAAAATGACAACCTTATTGTCGCAAAAAATTAATTATAATAATAAAAAAAAATCGTCATGAATGTAAATGTTTAGTTTTCGATAAATATCAAACATCGATGTTGGACTTACGATGATGATATCGATGTCAACATCGATGTTATTCTAATGTCGATCATATATACCTACATACCTACAGATGGCGCCGTTTTTATATAATCAACTTTTAAGTAATAATGCTTCGAGTTTTTTCATTTGGCGCATAGATGATGCTATTTATGAAAATCGATTTAACCGCGCAATTTATTTAATCGATTTGTTAAAAATCGATTAATGTGACATGGAAAATCGATTATAAAAATCGATTATATTAAAATAATAATCGATTAAAATAAAAATCGATTATTTTTTAACATCCCTACTGTAATTCTAAAATGGCGATACGCTATTTGACAGCTAGTCTATTTGTACATTTTCAAAATAATACTTTTGCAGTTTATCAGTGGATTTATTAGGAGTCTATAAAATATAATGTATTATTTAAATAAATCTGTTTATTTTTCATTACCGAGTTCACAATTTAAGTGGTTTTTATTAGAAAAAAATCAAATAATTTCCTAATTTATAAGTTCGTCTTTCCCCGACTTATAGGAGTAATTTTATACGATTGATGTGATAAAACTATAATGGAAATGCGGTGCAGTGTTAAAAATTGTACAAGTGATACTAAAGTTCGAACAAAAAGTCATGGAATAACGTTCCATTTGTAAGTTTACTTAATTAGGTCTTACTGTGACTTACAGAAGTTTTAATATCAAAACAATTATTTATGTATTAATATATCACCCTACGTTATATTTGGTGGCGAAATAAATGACAATGATTGTAAAGTATGTATTTATTTTATATTTAATAAAATTTTCCAGTTCCAGCGTACACACTTGAATAGTAATAATAAATATTACAAAATTTAATTCCCTTTAGCCCTCTGATTTAAATGTTTTGCTATTTCAATTGATTTTCCCAAGTAATTGATTATTTTATCTGACTTACTATTTTTTTATATTTATTTCAAAACACAAACAGATTTACAATTTAATTTTATATTAAAGCTATTGTGAACAATTTGATCATAGTTATTGTAAATCCAGCCACAATGATTACAAATTCATATAAAGAAATGTATGTTTATTCAGACAAATCTAAAATGAAATTGAGTAATATAAATGTGTAAACTAAGAGTTATTGGCACTCAATAATAATATTCTTATAAGATCCCTTGGGTTTGATTAAATTGTAATAGGTAGTCTGTCGGTTAAATAATAGAAAAAATATGAGATAAATTTTTTTGTACTTCTTTTCACAAGATAAGTGGGAGCTTGCTATGTCACAGTTTTGTAGAAAATTATACAAAAGTGTGACGTCATGTGACATTTTAACTCAATGTTTTGTCATAATTGCCTGATTATGCAAAAAATACAAAATATGTGTTTAATATTTTTCAACAGTATATCTGTGAAGATATACTGTTTAGTCATCATTGCTATTGGTAAGATTGGCTAATTAATATATTATGAATTCACAGGTTTCCGAAAGAACCGAATCTGCGTTCAGCTTGGATAGAGTCCTTGCATATGGAGGACTTTGAGCCCAAAGAACGCAGTACCATCTGTTCGGAACATTTCAGTACCGATGACTTTTATGAAACAAAAAATGGCCTGAGGAAGATCAAGGTTGGAGCCATACCCATTGCAGACATTGTGAGTTTTTATGTTGTGAAGTTGTTTTAAGAGGTGATTTTCATTGATCCATAAATTGGGCATTATACATGACGAATGAACAACTCAAAGGCAGGATGATAATTATTATAAGTCAAATGTCTATGATCATCATTACACCGTCAATTAGATGTCAATGTGATTACATTGTTATCTAATCGAGATTGATGACAAAACTCTAGAACCGATCAACACATTACATTGTCTTATCTTCTTGATTTGACGCAAGATTCTGATGCAGTGCAATCATTATACTGTCGATTGTTTCATGTATTTCAACTTGTCTAATGCCTTCATGCATGTCAACCAATATCATTAAACTACCTGATGCCGTACAGACTAACAAAATCCAACACAATTTGTGAATAAAATACAGCAATAAATAGAAAACTATACTAATATTATAAAGAGAAAAGACTTGATTATTTGTTTGTAACAAATTGGCTAATGTACTGATTTAAAAAAATCTTTCACCTACAACAAACTACATAAGAAGCTACATCCTATTTGCTTCTGAAGTACGGAGTATTACTTTTGCGAAAGTTTATACACTACGCCACCGAGTTAGGTATTCACAATTGTGTAGTTATAGTTTATGTTGCCGACCTGCTCTACGATTCTGTAATAATACAAACTCGAATTTGAATTCACTCATGTGTCTGAATTCACTTGAAAAAGCGGCATCCGCTCAATCTTGAATTGGTAATATTCTGAATCACATGTATTCAATTTTGTTTTGTATTTATTTTACGACCTCCGTAGCCGAGTGGTTCGCACGCCGGTTTCAAGGTGTCGCCGTCGCTCAGGTCCCGGGTTCGATTCCCGGTCGGGTCAATGTAGAAAATGAACTTTTCTATATTGACTCGGGTCTGGGTGTTGTGGTACCTTCGTTGTCTCAGATACTCCATAATACGGGCGCTTTAGCTACTCATCTTGGAATCAGAGCAATGTATGTGTTGTTAAATAGGTATTTAAAATAGGTATTTTAGACAAAAAAAATGGAATTAATAGAATTTTTATACCAAATGACGTGACTTCAGACAAGTGTGAATTCGAATACGGTTTTGTACAGAACCGCAGGGCTGATTATTAATTATGCGTTTTTCTGTTGTAACAGGATTCAGAAGATTTAGATGCTCCAGCGGCTACACGTGTGAGTAAACTATATTTACATAGTACGTTTGTAGACAGTGAACGAAAATAAATACATATTATTTTGTACAGTAGTGTTTAATATATTATTAACTATAATAACCAGAGGTCGGAATTAGGTAGACTTATTTATGTACTTGCATCAAAATGTTGAAATTAATGTGGACCTTCCCGGGATTTCTAATGGACAATCTTGGACATCTTTGGACATCCGATGTCATTGATGTAAGTTTGGCAACGACGTGCGTGCAGTAGTTTAAATTGTGTAAAAGTAAATAACTTTTTATTTAAAAAATCAGGGGATTTTTTCTGCTCTTTAAAATTAATCTCGGGATTTGAGGCATATCCACTTTATTCTTTCGCTGTATGAAATCAGTGTAAGTACATGAATAACTCTACCTAATTCCGACCACTGATAATAACACTTATTATATATTTATAATATTGCTTAACCCTTAAATTCACCTTGTCGCATTACTGCTACAAACCGGTAATCGATCGATTGTAGCTAATTAAAAGACATGCATTTGAATGAAACCTCTTTTGACCATGAACAATATATGTTTCTTTTAATTTTGACAGATCTCTAGGATATTTCATTTCAAAGTTTTAAAATACCCGCTTTTCAAACTTAATCAATCGTCGTCGTGTAAAAAGTGAAAAACGAAAGGTTTTATTTCAAGTTTTGTGAAAACGTTTATTAGGTAAGTGTTATTTTTTTTTTTGTTTTTAGAAACATGATTGTGCTATCAATAAAAAAACAAAATTATTTTAGTATAAAAGATAGCAAATTTTGTTATATTATCATAAAAATCTGTTTGTCGCACATCTGCTACGTTGCGCATTGCATATATAAAAAAAAGTTGTTTTGAGTACAATATAATTTTATACTTTTTTAATAATTATGTATATTTTTTCTTAGAATGTCGAGACCAGTGAATAATAAAATTATCAAAGCTTACCTCAGGATCCTAAAACAGTCGAAAGATGAAATGGAATCTTCTGAAGACGAGGAAGTAGATGAAGAAACCTGCTATGTGAACAATCAGCAGCAGCTCCAAGCGGATTTAGAAGATGAATATAAAAGTGATACTGACGCGAACAATGTAGACTTGGCTTATGAAGACCTGGCTAATAGTGACTCTCCACTTGTAGAAGATGATAACAATATCTCTGAAAATAATGATGGGTCATCATCACTATTTTCAGTAAATAATTATGATACTGAATCTCGTAAGCGGTATAGTCGCGTAATTTGGAGGCGAAAGAATTACATTGTCAATGAAGGAAAAGACGGTGCCAAGAGGACATTATGAGGAACAGGTGGTGGTGGTACTGTTGACGGTGTCGATGTCAGTGCTGTTGTATGGAAAGACAACAAGCCATTCACATTGTTGTCTACGTATACAGGTGCACAGCCCGTTTCTACTATTTCAAGGTACGATAAGGTTACTAAGCAGAGAGTGCCTATAAATTGCCCATAAGTTATAAAAAGACTATAATTCCCACAGGGGAAGCGTCGACCTGATGGACAGTTTCCTCGGCAGATACCACATTACTAGAAAAAGTAGAAAATTGACCAATCGTTTATTTTTCCATTTTCTTGACATGACTATTATAAATTCCTGGCTCTTGTATAAAAAAACGATCAAACCAAGCAAGGACATGACAAAGCTTTGAACCTGTGTAAGTTCAGGCTACAGATAGCCGACAGTCTTTGAAAACTTAGTCCACTAATGAACAGCAATAAAAGAGGACGTCGAAGCTCCTCGTCTTTTGATACAGAATTAAAACTGAAGAAGAAACGAGGACCAGCACAGACCATGCCGCCTAAATACGTTCGCTATGATTGAGTCGATCACTGGCAGAACTGAGGCGATAGAACTCGCTGTAAATACCCTGGCTGTAAGGGTCATACATATACCTATTGCGAAAAATAATGAGTAAGTTTGTGTTACAACAGGGATAAAAGTTGTTTTTATAGATTTCATCATAAATAAATATAAATCAACACTATTTACTAAAATTGTACAATAGTTTCATTTATTATTTGTTACTCTACTCCCATACATTGTATAGTTAGATGAGCACGCACTGTAGCATATATGCGACAAAGGGTTTTTGTAATTTTTGGTGCCGTCAGCATGTTATTAGATTTTTTTAAGTATTTTTCCTGTATTCTATAGACCATAACAAATCGAAATATATTTTTTTTAGAACAAAATAAAAAATCGCGCATTTAAGGGTTAAATTCATTATGAAAAAACTAATATTTTATACTCGTTGTCACGTAACCGCAAACAGCGCGTGATGTCAAGTCCCTCTTACTCATATCGGAACTTAGAGAATTGAACCTTATGCCTAAGGTACATAGAACGATATTCGTTTCAGAGTGCCACAGACGTTATAACGACGCCATGACAGAAGATGGCGTTTTCGCGGCATAATTATATTTATTTTTGTATGAATGGTATCTTTTTAAATTATTTTTTTAGATATATTTCATGTATGTATATAAAATAAAAATAATAAAAAAAAGTACTTTACCCCCCTATTACGCCAACATAACACAAACAAAATTAAAAATAGTATTTATTCTCTAACCATCTTCCTTAATAATAATACGTTGGATTATAAGTTCCGAAAGTTGCTAATGCGCTAGAACCTTGTCTAATCAACACCCGTGTGACGTCACATCAAAATAGAAAGTATAGATAGCACAAAAGGCAAGATATAAATAATTTATTTTAAAAATACTAAATATACGTTAAAATACACACATAGTAAATTGGAAAACATTTAGTTCCACAAAAGCATGTAGAATCTTGTCTCTGTGAAGTATTCCAGCGTGACCTTCGTCATAAATATAATTACACTAGCTGTTACCCGCGACTTCGTCCGCGTGCTAAAGTTACTTACAGCAGCATTTCTTACGAATATTTATTCATTATATCGTGTAAAATACCTGAAATAAACTCTCATCCCCAATATCACCCCCTTAGGGGTTTATCAAAATCCTTTTTAGGGGATGCCTACGTCATAATAGCTTTTTGCATGCAAAGTCTTAGCCCTATCAGTTTAAAATTGACAAAGTTTCATACAAAGTTTCATCCCCTATTTTATTCCCTTGGAGGTAGAATTGATCAAAATTCTTTCTTAGGGGATGCCTACGTCATAGTAGCTTTATGTATGCAGTCTCAGTCCTATCAGTTTAAAACGGACAAAGTTTCATACAAACTTTCATCCCCTATTTTAACCCCTTGGAGGTAGAATTGATAAAAATCCTTTCTTAGTGGATGCCCACGTCATAACATCTACCTGCATGCCAAATTTCAGCCCGATCCGTCCAGTGGTTTGGGCTGTGCGTTGATAGATCACTATGTCAGTCAGTCACCTATGAGTTATATATATTAAGATGTATACACATCATCCTCATTAATAATCATAGAAGTGGCATCTGATACTAGTATTTATTTGTTTGTAGGTCTGTCGAATATGCCTTGCAATCGATGTGAAGATGTACGATTTGTCTTCCAAGTTGGGTGAAGCGTACAACCAGATTACCGGCATAATAGTAAGTTGAAATATAATGTAACTTTTTATTTATCTGAAAAATCTGTAGTTTGTGGTTTTTTTTTGTAATTTAATGTTCATAGTTTTATATTTTGTAACCATTATTTAATTATTATATTCAGAAGAATATTATATTGTAATGGGTCTGTTAAAAAAGCAAAGTTGCACACGAAAAGGAACTCGCACTGTGAAATTCTTGTTACCCCGAATCATAAGTAAGTTAGATAAAGAGTTTCAATACTCACTTAACGAAAAAAATATAAAAAAACAAATTAAAAACACTACTTCTGTGTATGCTGGATCGCAACGACCAAATAATATTGTAATACCTTATATAACTTATGTATAGTGAACTATGGCACATAGATTAAAATCTTGGAGGTTTGTAATGTGCCTGGAAATGTATCTTATAAATTGTGAAATATTATTTATAATAAATAAATTATAAAAAAAATTAGTAATTTAAGGGAGTAAAGTATTCAAAATCCTTTCTTATTGTCCTATTCCCATAGGACATCTTAGAAAAAGTGTTTTAATAATATTATACTTTATTGCACTCAATATGATACAATGTTTACAGGAGCTTATTATTTAAAAACATTGAGTAAACAAATGGCGGCCATATTGCTTAACAGCAATTGCTGTTGCTGGTTTTAAATTATTCTATATAATATAACTTTATGTAATTAAACCGCATTTAGAACCCAAATTATTACCTGGCTTACACAGATTAAGTTCATAAGTAAACTAAATTTTTAACTTAATTTTAAGTTATTACCTATGCGGATTGGAGGTCATTAACGATTGCAAACGCAGCCGGGACCAATGACTTTCAGAAGCATAGAGTTGCTCGAGACAATAATTTTTTGGTCACCCATCCCGTGACTGACCCTTGCAAAAGTCGCTTAACCGATTATCCAATACGCCATCGAGCTACTTCTAGCTAGCTTTTTCCATTTGTAAAAGTGACATTGAATTTTTTTCTTTTCTTCAGTGGGCTGAGAGGGATAGTATGCCTCAGAAATTTTGCTGGGAGTGCGCGGGCAGATTGAATTCGTGTTACAAATTTTTCAATAAAGCTTTGAGAAGTCACAAGTTATTGCTCGGGGTACTGCAGACTAATTCGTATGTGAGTATTTTGTTTATGTTGACATTTGTCCTTTGTCTTCAAGTCGGTCCCATATTGCTGAAGATCGTGGCTTAGACGAAAGCGAAATGCAGTACTTTTACATTTAGGTCTTCTGTTTGATGGAGAGCCTGCTTGATCAGATCATCGTCTAAAGGTGCATTTAAACCAAACGAATAAAGAACTAGAGCAAGAACAAGAGCATTGTTTCTTGTTCTTTTAGCGTAATCGAAAAATAGTTTTAAGTGTTTACACCAAAAGAATATCAATGAGCAAGAACTCATATCCTTCTCGAACAAAAAACTAGAATTCTGCACAACTTTTAAATGAAACTAATGCTCATATAATATGTACTCAAATCACTAGAACACAAGAACGCTTTGAAGAGAGCGCTCCAATGAGCGAGCGCTTCCAAACACGTAAGCAAGCTCTAAGCAACTGTTTGTACGCACTAGTGCCGTTTACACCTTGCGAATATTTGCGAACGCTGATAGAACAATGAGCGAATCCTCTAAGAATAAACATTGGCTGGTTTGGTTTAAGACTACCTTCTCTTGGTTGTTTGCCATCCACTTTTGCCGGCTATTTAGAGCTTTTACAAGTTGTCTGTACCTCGGCGTATTACACGACCAAAGTACTGTAATATTATGGAGAGAGACGTCGCTGTGAATCTAGTTTGAGTTCACTTAATCGTAGAATCGATATGTTTGTTCGACGCGCTGTCCAACGGATGCGAATAGATTGCTAGGCGTCCGGATAAAGCCGGACATAGGCTTTTTCATTGCATGTCCGGCCGAGATAAATGGTTTTTGAGTAATACGAATTTCGAAAGTACTAGAAATAAAGTACTTAGATTGGTTTTGCATTCGATTTTATTTTTATTTCATTAGAATATAAGAACATTTAAGGTAAATATAACTTATCATGCAATACTATTCTTTATGTGTATGAGTAATAAAGATTATTTCTGTATACCTCTTTCAGTTGCGTGTTAAAGATATAAAAAATATTAGTAGGGTAACCAATGATCTCAAATCGAATCTCGGACAAGATTTCTTTCAAAACAATGAATGTGAATTGTGTTTACAAGAAAAGAACTTGCAAGAAGAGTCTATAAAAGAAGAGAATCTGGGACTATGTATTGCGGAACCTCTAGATGCTGGAATGCCATTAGTAACAGTCGAAATAAAAAATGAAGAAAACGACAATTATTACGATGAGTTAGCTGACCATTTTAATGATTCTGATGATAATTTGAAACTTAGTGAGGTGGCTGTTGTCGATAAAATTGATATCGATAAAACTAATGACAAACCTAAAGTTAAAGTAAAGAAGAAAAAATTGAAGGCCGAGAAAGAGAGGAAGAAGGTTAAAGAGAGACGGAAGAATGATGAAGATGAAAATCCGTCGTCTACTATGGATAAGTATGTTATTTATTTGTATATTATATTTAATAGAGATGAGAATATTATACACTTTTTTTTTATTTGTTGCGTTATCAATACATAAACTGAGTTGGAATGTTCCATGACGTCACGTCTTTGTACATTTTCGACGTAGTAGTGACGTAGCGAACCCCACCTTTTTAATTTATAGTAAAAAAACACGTATCTAAAATTTACTATTATCTGAATGACGGATTAAATAAAATTTCACTTTTTACCTATATATCGTACTACTCCTTAGGGAGTTAAAAGGAGCTAAAATTATTATTTTATACTTTTTGGGTCGATTACAGTTTTGAGTCGAGGTCTTCTAAAATATATCTTTCATTCTTTTCTAACAAATACAAAAAAAAAAAAAAACCAAATGATCTTGACGAATAGCCTTTCGATTAAAAACTAATTAAATATGTCCGTTTGCTTACAAGCTGTAATGCTGTATGTAAAAACACCACATAATGGCAAAGTGCTTGTAGCTCTTAAAATGCTAATCCGTTATTACTCAACTTGGCACCTGAGACATACTGATCAACTGTTTCAGATTGACCAACTTAATGAATGTAATTACTAAGTGTACGTGCTAAATATTGCATAAGCACTAATAGTGCACAGAATACTAAATGGGCACCTCAAAAATCACTAAGCGTGCACAAATAATCACAAAATGTGCGCAAAGAATCACAAATAGTGCACATAATACTAAATAGGCACAACTAAAATCACTAACCGTGCACATATAATCGCAAAATCTGCACAAATCACTAAGTGTGCACAAATAATCTCTATATGTGCACAATAATCATTTAATGTGTACAAAAATCAATATCATTAAATGAGCACCAAAGTCTTAATTCTTTTATTATTGTTATAAATTCATCAGTGTAAAATTTGTTGTACGTCATGTACCCAATAGTATTACGAGGGTCAAACTGAAAGTTCTTAGAAAATCAAAAACTGATTACATTAGCCAGTTATTAGTTTTATTATATCTTTTCAAAATAATGTCCATTCACGTCAATACACCGCTGCATGCGATGGAACCACTGGGAAAAGCACTTTGCCCACTCGTCCTTAGGGGTCTCTTCAATGGCATCGCGATACGCAGCCACCGCTTCTTCAGCATTCATAAACCGCTTTCCTTTAAGTTTTTCTTTAATTTTTGGAAATAAATAAAAATCACAAGGCGCGAGGTCGGGGCTATACGGCGGGTGACCCAGTAATTCAACGTTTGATGTCGCCAAATAGTTGATCGTTCGCTTGGCGGTGTGCGACGAGGCGTTGTCGTGGTGAAGGAGGATCCTACTGCGAGGTCGTTTCTCTCGAACTTTTTCCAAGACAAGTGGCAAACAATTGGTAGTGTACCATTCTGCAGAAACTGTTTTTTGATCCTCTAACACAATTGTTGCAAAATGACCTATCCTTCCAAAGAACGAGGCCACCATTTTTTTTCCCGCACTTCGATCTCTCTTCACTTTAGTTGGCAACTCCTCGAAAGGAAACACCCACTGAGCAGATTGTCTTTTGGTTTTAGGATCATAACAGTAAATCCAGCTTTCGTCACCTGTTAGTATGTCGAACACAGCATTTGAGTCACCTCCGTTAAATCTTTCAATCATTTTACGACACCAATCCACACGATGGAGTTTTTGAGCCTCAGTCAAATTATGAGGTATCCACCGGGCGCAAAGCTTCCTGACCGCTAAATGTTCGTGGAGGATTTTGTGCACTTGACTCATACCGATGCCTAAGCTTGTCCGAATCTGTTGATAGGTCACTCTTTTGTCAGTCTCTATCATACGCCGCACAACACAGATGTTATCTTCAGTCGTCGCCGTAGAAGGCCGTCCCTCACGTAAATCATCAGTGAGATTAGTGCGACCACGTTTAAACTCATTAAACCAGTTGTAAACAGTCGCACGAGATGGGGCTTCATCGTGAAAGGCCAATCGTAGTCTATCATAACTTTCTTGTTGACTTAAATGACATCGAAAGTCATAAAAAATCATTGCACGAAAATTTTCTCGTGTTAAATTCATGATGACGTGACACAGACAATTTTCAATTTGCCGCCAAATCGTAAAACAAATGACAAATGAATGAAATATATACTCAGTAATATTGGCAAAGAGTTATATTTTCAAATTTTAGAATTATTTTTTTATTATATTGTTTATAAGTGGCCAGTTCTAAGAACTTTCAGTTTGACCCTCGTATTTAAACGATGTTCTAGGTATAAAACTTCAGATGTCAAAAGAAGAAAAAGCGACGGCTTAGACGAATCATTATTTAATATAACCACTTTATCTTATGAGGAGCAGATAGCTGAAATACAGAAGCGTCAAGAGAGCTATTCTTATAAGAGTGCTATTTACAAATGTACTATATGTTACAGAGGGTTTTTAATTAAAGATAGATATGACGCTCACGCAGTCAGACATAGTGATGTAAGTATACACGGTATTAAGACACGGTATCATTATAATCACCGTCACTACCGCCATCATCACTACCATCACTACCATCACCACTACCACCACAACCACCACCACCACAATCATCACAACCATCACCACCACCACTAACATCACCACCATCATTACCTTTTTCACTACCACCACCACCACCACCACAAATAATACCACCACCGCCACTATCATTACCACAGCCACCACCACCACAATCATCACCACCATCACTACCTTTTTCACTACCACCACCACCACCACAAATAATACCACCACTATCATTACCACTACCACCACCACAACAACCACCGTCACCACCACCACCATCGTAATCATCACCACCATCTTCACTACCATCATCATTGTCACCACCCTCACTACCATCAACACCATCTACACTTCTATTACAACGCCACCGCCACCATTACATCACCACCATCATCAATTCATCACCACCATTATCAATTCATCACCACCATTATCATCACCACCAACACCACCACCACCATATTTAAACATCATCATTATAATCATTAGCAACAGCAGCAGCAGTCTTTTCACGCCCCCACTGCAGGGGCTCCGGCCTTTCTTATGGATGGTTAAGGAAGATATACCGCGGCCCTTCATGCGGGCCCAATGAGGATTTGTGGGTGTTAACGACTGCAAATGCTGGACCAACGGCTTAACATACCGATGAAGCACCAAGGAGTGAGAGATTATAAATTTTCGGTGACCCATCCTGTGATAGTCATTATGACAGTTGTTTAGCAACAAAGATCGTGGGCCGCGGCTTTTTTTTATCCACTACGACACTCAGGCTTTGATAGATGGAATTGAATTGGAGGAATAGGTCATGGAACTCCACGCGGGTCCAGTGCGGATCGGTGGGTGTTACTACTGCAGAATCAGCCGGAACCGGCAGCTTGTTGTGTAGTTTATGAGATCTCAGTGTGCGGACAGCGGAAAGCGACTTTGTTTTTTATAATAATATTATAAAAAGGATAGATTTGTTTGTTTGTTTGCATCGAATAGACTCCGAAACTATTAGATAGATTTTGAAAACTCTTGCATCTACGGAAAACTACATCATATGCGGTGACCATAGGCTATATTTTATCCCGAAAAACACCATATAAAGGGATCAAAACGGTAGTGGAAGTTTGTATAGGGAATTACGTTACCATGGTAACCATAAATGAACAGTTCCCTAGGGAACACGCGGGCGAAGCCGCTGGTGGGAAGCTAGTAGATTATAATTCTAAGTAAGCAATTTATTTTTCAGCAAAGCGGTGCATACGAATGTTTCATATGCAAAACTAGACTGAAAACCGGTCGAGCACTACGTAAACATCTAACGGCTCAGCATACAGAGAAATTCAGTTGTAAAGGTTGTCCGTTCGTCACTAGAAATAGGTGAGTAAGTACTATTTAAATTACAAACTGAGTTATTAATAAACAAGGTTTAGCGTTGGAGTAAATTTACGCCAAGACTGCACTTAGTATTAGACAAAATTCATATTATTAAACACAGACTTGGCAAAGGTTAACCTAGTACGAGGTTCTACGGGAGTAATATATACTCCTAGAAAGTTATTATCAGCTAAAGCCCATTAAAATGACGAAGTATTATAGTACATAGGCATCCCCTAAGAAAGGTTTTTGATCAATTCTAACCCCAAGGGGATAAAACAGGGAATGAAACTTTGTCAATTTTAAACCGATCGGGCTGAGACTTTTCATGCATAAAGCTATTATGACGTCCCCTAAGAAAGGATTTTTATAAATTCCACTCCTAACGCGATAAAATAGGGGATGAAACTTTATTTCAGGTACTTTTCACGATATAATGAATAAATATTTCTTTAGAAATGCTGCCCAAAGTAACTTTACCACGCGGACGAAGTCGCGAGCAAAAGCTAGTTTAAATATAAATTGATTCCTTTCCAAAAAAATCTTTTTTTTTGTTGTTTATTTATAAAAAAATTAAAAAACTAAAAGCTATTTTAAGCTGTGATTATTTTAACAATATTTCGGGAATTATTCATAAATATTTTAATAATTCATAATTAATTTATCTCTTGCCTTTTGTGCTATCTATACTTTCTATTTTCATATGACGTCACGCGGGTGTTATTTAGATAATTTACGGGACTTTTAACTTTAATGATTTTATTATAGAGGTGTGGCGAGGGAGCACGAGAAATGGCATGCGGGTACTAAATATCAATGTCCACATTGTCCCAGTGAATTCGAGTAAGTATAACTTGTCGTCATTCATGTCCCCACTGTAGGGGATGGGCTATGACCCTTCACTCTGGCCCAAAGACGCAGCCTGGACCAACGGCTTCACGTTGCACGAAGCGCGGAGTAGTGAGACATAAAAAATTTTCGGTCTCCCATCCCGTGACTGACCCTTGCGAAAGTTGCTTAACATCAACGATCGCGGGCCGCGGCGCTTATCGACAGCGCATGTTTATATGTGTCATTACACACACAGACATGTGAGTAATGACCAGAGGTCGGAATTAGGTAGAGTTATTTATGTTCTTGCATCGAAATGTTGATAATAATGTGGACCTTCCCGGGATTTCTAATGGACAATCTCGTGTGGCCAACAATCTTACAACTAAATAATAATAACAACGTCAGAGATAGACAAATAAAACAAAGATAATTAACATAAAATTTTTATTAGTTTACATTAATTTACAATACAAATTTACAATTTGAGGCATATCCACTTTATTCTTTCGTTGTATGAAATCAGTGTAAGTACATGAATAACTCTACCTAATTCCGACCACTGGTAATAACACACATTAACAAAGGAACATTTTTATTTTTATATAATTAATAATTATTTTAAAGTTTTTTTTAGTTGATGTAATATTGTTTTTTTTTTTTTTTTTCAGTAAGCTGACTACGTATATGGGTCATATAAGAATCAAACACGTATCCGACTTTGTTTGCGAACTGTGCGGCTTTACGTTTGTCAGCAAGAAAGGGATAGATGTACATAAGAAGAAGAAACATAGACTGTCTGATAAAACTGTGAGTATTGAAGCGGATTTATCGATTCTCTGTCTCCAATTGTGGGCTCATTGACTAATTTCAAAGTATATCGTCGTCCCTCCGTCCTCGAAATCGTCCGATTTCAGGAATTATGTAACGTTTGAATTCGCAAACGCTTTAGGAACGAATAATTAAGAAACATAGTGTTACGGAGCGCAGCGGCGCGGTTCGTCTACGCGTTACTAGATGGCGTTGTGCGCCAGTGAATCGCGCTAACACTGTTGAAACTACGTGTGTCATATAGGTATACATCGAGTTAGCGGGAAAGGGACGGCCATTTGGGAAGAAAGGGACGGGTAGCCGCTTTAGAACTTTTAGGTAATGACACGAATATAGCGGTAGGGCTGAGGAGATTCCTAGAAGGTTCTAGGTCACTTAGAACATCGCCCGCGACTTCCACCGTGGAAGGCCTAAGCTACTCCTCACTACATAAGCTATCTGTCAGTGAAAGTCCCATTAAAATCGGTCCATCTGTTTCAGAGATTACCCGGTACAGACAGACAGGCAAAAAATGTTAAAAAAATATATATTAGGGGCCGTCCATTAATCACGTGAAGTTCGAAAGAGGGGGGAGGGATTCGTCAAAAATCACGAAATATCACAAGGCGGGTGGGGTGGGGGTTATGTAGTAATATATCACGTGTATTTAATTTTTCCTCGATGCGCGATTATAAAACCAAAAAGCGGCGTCAAAAATTAAGATTTTTTTGTTTTTTTTTTAATACACGTTATTTGCTTTAAGGCGGGAGGGGGTAGTCTTAACCTCACCATGTATCACCAATGGGGAGAGGGGGATCATTAAATGTAAAATAACTACAGTGTTATTACGAAAAAGATAAACACGCGTTGAACACGTGTTTAAAAATTGTTCTATTTGAGCATTGGTTAAGGCAAAACAACCCTTAAACATTGTTTAAAATTTAAACACATGTCATGTTGACACATGATAAGTTGTTTATGGAGTATCTTACCTTTCACAATATTTCACTATAGTTTTGACTTTGATAAGAATTATGTCTTTGAATTTAAATTAAAAATGATAATTTTAGATTAAATATTTTCATTTACAAAAATTATTAACTAGTGTGTTTAAAAGATATCTTTTTACGTCTAAAATTTATTATAAGTTTGTATACAGCGTGCATAGAATTGAACGTGTATGAACGAATGAAAGCCAGTAGTACGAATGTTTCTTTGCTTAGACAATGTTTAAAAATGAATTTGTAATAGGGAAAATTAGACATCATTTTAAACAGGGTTTATATTCTTAAACACAGTTTAGATAAACACATGGTAAAACACTGTTTAACGTCTCTTTTGTAATAACACTGCTAGTTTTTAATATTACAAACAGATACTCCAATTTTATTTATTTGTATGGATATACAGACAGTTGTTTATGTAACTGTCATATAAGAAGGGGTATTAAAACACGAGAGTCTGTTTATATATATAATAGGTTGACTAGAGTGTTTTAATACCTAAGTTATATGCAGTTTCATACACTACTTTATCTTCACTCATAGGAAATATTGAAATTAAACAAAGTAGGTAGGTTACAAGGAAGTAATTTTTTGGAATCTCGAATACAAACACAATCGGCAATAAATGTATGGAAAGCGCGGGAAATTAAGTTGAAACTGCGCATGCGTGCGCCATTTTTTCATACCCAGCTTAAAATCATAGACTAGATTAATGAAAAAAAAAATATAGCGGTACTATAATGAGTTTTTCAATGCAGTTGCTTATAAAGCGTCTTTCATCCATTGTAAATACCGAAAGTGAATCTTTAAACACGTGTTAAATAAAAATGTACTGAAATCCTTTACTGCACATGTGCTTAAAAATATTTTTTTAATTTTTTTTGGCCGAGCACCAAAGAAATTAAAAAAAAAATTGATGAAAATATGTCAAACTTTAGAGGCAAAAGTATTTCAAGGAGCCTAGAAATATCACGTTTAATTTTAACAAATAATTTTTACATTTAATACATACTTAGTTTTATTAACCTATATATTTGTTTTATTTCCTCGCAAAAAGCATTGAAAAATGTTGTAAGAAACTTGAGCGTAAAAGGTTTTTCGAATTCGTGCCAATGTAAACCCTCGTTACGCTCGTGTTTTCAATTTGGCCCTTATTCCGTATTCAGTAAAACCTTACTTTCCGCACTCGTATCTTAAATAACTATTATGGTACAGTTGGCGGTACTATAATGAGTTTTTTTTTATGTATAAATGTTTATAAAGTGCGTATTTATAGAATCGTCTTTGAATTAGTAATTCGAATTTTTCGATTTGAGTGTAGATACAATATATTTTTTATTATTGTCATCAGGTACCTTTGGAAGGTCCATATTGTTGCGTTTGTGACGTCACATTCGTATCAGAAGAAGCGCATTCTAGACATCTGAAGTTATCATCGAGACATAGTAGCGACAATGATCCGTGAGTTATACCAATATACTAGCTATTAAGTATTTTAAATTTTTTTAACACGATGGCTTATCCATACTTTCTATACGGTAGAAGATTTTTTTAATCACAATGAATAGCATAGTTTAATTGAATGTTTTAATAGTTTTTAATTAATGTAAAAGTTTACAATTCACAAAAAAAAAAAATATCGCAATTGATTATTTATGTAAAAAAAAAGTGTTAAACGATACTTATTTCAAGAGCGACTTATTCAAGAAAATTCTTATTGACTATTTTTTTATTATTGTTTATTTATATTAATACGAGGGTCAAACTGAAAGTTCTTAGAACTGGCCACTTATAAACAATATAATAAAAAAATAATTCTAAAATTTGAAAATATAACTCTTTGCCAATATTACTGAGTATATATTTCATTCATTTGTCATTTGTTTTACGATTTGGCGGCAAATTGAAAATTGTCTGTGTCACGTCATCATGAATTTAACACGAGAAAATTTTCGTGCAATGATTTTTTATGACTTTCGATGTCATTTAAGTCAACAAGAAAGTTATGATAGACTACGATTGGCCTTTCACGATGAAGCCCCATCTCGTGCGACTGTTTACAACTGGTTTAATGAGTTTAAACGTGGTCGCACTAATCTCACTGATGATTTACGTGAGGGACGGCCTTCTACGGCGACGACTGAAGATAACATCTGTGTTGTGCGGCGTATGATAGAGACTGACAAAAGAGTGACCTATCAACAGATTCGGACAAGCTTAGGCATCGGTATGAGTCAAGTGCACAAAATCCTCCACGAACATTTAGCGGTCAGGAAGCTTTGCGCCCGGTGGATACCTCATAATTTGACTGAGGCTCAAAAACTCCATCGTGTGGATTGGTGTCGTAAAATGATTGAAAGATTTAACGGAGGTGACTCAAATGCTGTGTTCGACATACTAACAGGTGACGAAAGCTGGATTTACTGTTATGATCCTAAAACCAAAAGACAATCTGCTCAGTGGGTGTTTCCTTTCGAGGAGTTGCCAACTAAAGTGAAGAGAGATCGAAGTGCGGGAAAAAAAATGGTGGCCTCGTTCTTTGGAAGGATAGGTCATTTTGCAACAATTGTGTTAGAGGATCAAAAAACAGTTTCTGCAGAATGGTACACTACCAATTGTTTGCCACTTGTCTTGGAAAAAGTTCGAGAGAAACGACCTCGCAGTAGGATCCTCCTTCACCACGACAACGCCTCGTCGCACACCGCCAAGCGAACGATCGACTATTTGGCGACATCAAACGTTGAATTACTGGGTCACCCGCCGTATAGCCCCGACCTCGCGCCTTGTGATTTTTATTTATTTCCAAAAATTAAAGGAAAGCGGTTTATGAATGCTGAAGAAGCGGTGGCTGCGTATCGCGATGCCATTGAAGAGACCCCTAAGGACGAGTGGGCAAAGTGCTTTTCCCAGTGGTTCCATCGCATGCAGCGGTGTATTGACGTGAATGGACAATATTTTGAAAAGATATAATAAAACTAATAACTGGCTAATGTAATCAGTTTTTGATTTTCTAAGAACTTTCAGTTTGACACTCGTAATACGTTAACTAGAATTTTTGAATTTTTCTGACTCGGGTTCATTTTGTTGAAAAATAAACTTTTATTTTTAAACCTGTTGAATACAAAATCAATTTATCTCTTTTAGAAATTAACTCAATAATATCGATATTTTGTATATATATTTATTACCACATCACTAAAAAATATAAACGTTATCGTATCCATGCTATATGAAAAAAACTACTTAACATATAAATAGTTGTTCTTTTTTATTTACAATTAATTGAGATTAAAGTTTTTGTATTTGGTTGTACCTCTTAACTGACACGCATATAAAGTCACTGTATATGTACAAGGATTATCCACATATACAGCCGCGCGCATAAATAAGTTGATCTTATAATAATAATTCTTTATTCATACCAAAAATAAACATTAACGAGGAAGTATTAAAAAAAAGAATGCACTAAAAAAGCACCTCCACTAGATGGCGACTCTAGCAAAAGTTGATTTTTGCAGGAAACGAATGGAACAAAGACAGTCATTTGCGTTCCTTTTAACTAACATATTAAAAAACTGAAATCGGAAAAGTTCGCAACTTAGATATCAATACAAATACGAAAAAATACAAATAGAATATGAGTTGTTTATTGAGTTTTGAAAACTAATTTACTTTTAAACTTGAAAGAAAATCAAGCATGTACCGTAGCGTCATCTAGTTTGATTTCGGGAACTAATGTTTTTTTCTTAATACTTCCTCATTGAAAATGTTAAATGATAGATTTAAATATTAATTGATAGATAGAGTATATAAGGTTATAGAGGATATAAGTCACAACTGACACTAATAGATTATACAAATAATCTGTATGTAGAGATTTAGTCACTTTCCCTATGTTACCTTTAGTAATAGCACAGTAGTTTATAATTGATAGGTAATGTTAGCGATGTGCTCAAGGTATTTTTGTATTTTTATCTTATATTTAAAAATGGAGGTACTTTAAATGTCATAACTGCCATACTGTAATTTTGTATTGAGTCAGTCTGCTATTATCCGCGCCAAGTGTAAGACATATATTTTAACGTGCTGTACAATTAGTTATATTTTTCTTCAAAAAGTGAATAAACTGTATATTTCAACCATTTTGTGGCGTATTATTACTAGCAACAACCAGTTACAAGCTACGGCTATTACACTAAGTAAATCTAAGTTTATTTTCATTAATGATGTCACAACAAACCTTTTTATACTCTACTTTTAATTAGTTTAATAAAGATTATTTTGAATTGACCCTATTCGTTGTTTTTTAGCAATCGTATAAGGAACGACTCGCAGAGTATAAACACGGAACGCAACGGACGCGTAATGAGGAAGATAGAACGTAGACCGGTCGTTAATCCTAAAGACCCGAGTGATCGGGACAAGAGACCTGAGCCCGGGGGACCTGTCACGTGTGAACAGGTCAGTATGTTTTGTTTAACTATGTTTCGTCTAGAGCCCTTTTAAAGTTGCCGAAGTAAATGCCTTACGGGTAGGGTTGCCAGTAGTCTAATTGTGACATTTCAAAATCTATCGCATACCCTTTTAAAGGTATAGCGATTGTGATAACGTTTAATAGATCTATTATATCTATCTATCTATAGATTTATTGGGGTAAAAACTGAAAATCAGTGCTTTGCTCTTTGAGTAAATACACAGAGTTTTCGCCCATTTGCATCGCTGCGGTACACATAATGTTTGATTGTCCTGTTTTAGTTTCTAATATTGTGTAAAATCCAAATTGTAAAATTTTGTGTATGCATGATGCAAATAAAGAATTTATCTATCTATCTAGAATCATGTAACGTTTAAAGTCGCAATGACGATTTGAATGAGAATGCGTTTGTGGAACTAGTGCTACTCGGCGGCAAACGCTCTCTACATATTCTAGGTACTATTCTTTAAATAAGTAAATTTTTGTCAGGGGTGTCCCGAAAACGCCATGTTCTGTCATAACGTGTCTATGTCGTCGCGCCCCTCTGGAACTACATAATATAATTCTATGTTTGCATGAGGTTCAATTCTCTAAGTTCTGATATGTGTTGAAGGGCGTGACGTCACGCGCGGTTCACGGTCACGTGATAACTTATATGAAATTTTGTTTTTTCATAATAACATTTTTTAAGAAATATTATAAACAGAGGTCGGAATTAGGTAGAGTTATTTATGTACTTGCATCGAAATGTTGATATGAATGTGGACCTTCCCGGGATTTCTTTATTTCTTCTTTCTTTCATTGATGTAAGTTTGGCAACGTCATGCGTGCAGTAGTTTTGTAAAAGTAAATAACTTTTTATTTAAAAAATCACGCGATTTTTTCTGCTCTTTAAAATTAATCTCGGGATTTGAGGCATATCCACTTTATTCTTTCGCTGTGTGAAATCAGTGTAAGTACATGAATAACTCAACCGAATTCCGACCACTGATTATAAATACAATTAGCTTAAAAGTATGATTATCTGTAATAGTATATTAAGTACATATATATATTTATTTTCATTTACTGTCGACATCTTTATTATTGTGTATTATATTATTATAGTGTGGTATACAACTTCGTGACTTAAGATTATACGCACAACACTTTAGAAGAGCTCATCCGGATAAGAATCGGACCAAATATCCGGCGATGAAGACCCCGTGTATGTGCGAGCAGTGCGGCAGGATATTCCAGGTAAGTAGACAGAGACGGAGAACCAAATGTAAGGGGATCTAGACGCATATGATAGATATACACTCTGTTTCCGTATAGAGATGAATAATTTTTGTTTTCTTAATAAAAAATGCTTAAAAAATACCCATTTTGGCACTCTGAGATGGGACTCGAACCCGTGACTTTTCGTGAGACAGGCGAATGCTCTAACCAAGAGGTTCCCAAAAATTTTTTCTTGTAGACCATTTTAAAAAATGTACTGGTTTCGGTGGACCCCGTGCTGCTACATTTATACCATATTCCCAAAATTCGTCCAAAATGTGAAGATTTAACGATGGAAATTGGGTCCTATTTTTATTTTACGCCAACGTAGACCACCGTTGAATCCCTCGTGGACCCCTGGGGGTCCACCTGGACAACTTAAGGAATCACTGACTCTAACCATTGAGCTACCGAGGACTTAACAGGATCAACGAACTCTCAAGTTACTTTTTCGCTATTACAGCGATTTTTATAGCATTTTTCATTATTATATTTTTATCAAAAATATAATAACTTTTATTTGTTCATCCGTCAGTTAGTTTATTGAAGAATATTAATCACGTATTTTTTATTTGATGCCTAATCAATAAATTACGGCGTTAAATTCAGTTGTAATGTCGTATGACGTCACGCCTTTGTACGTTTTCTAGTTAGTGACGTAACAAGCCCCCCATTTCTCAACTTTAAGGCCTATTATTTAAGCCATTTCTTGTTTAATTGAATTAAAAATATATACGTAGTGAAAGAGGTACCAGGTGACGGTAAATTCAGTTGAAATGTCGTATGACGTCACGCCTTTGTACGTTTTTTACTTAGTGACGTAACGGGCCTCCGAATTCTCAACTTTAAGGCCTATTATTTAAGCCATTTCTTGTTTAATTGAATTAAAAATATATACGTAGTGAAAGAGGTACCAGGTGACGGTAAATTCAGTTGAAATGTCGTATGACGTCACGCCTTTGTACGTTTTTTACTTAGTGACGTAACGGGCCTCCGAATTTTCAACTTTAAGGCCTATTATTTAAGCCATTTCTTGTTAAATTGAAGCAAAAATATATACGTAGTGAAAGAGATATGTAACGCCGGGTGACCTATCTATTGTCTTATTTTAAAATGTATAACTTTGAATTTGTCTTTAAAAGATATTCACCAACTTCGCTCTCCAACTATCACACATGCTACCGTGACTTTTTGAAAGTTACTGAATGAGCGATAACGTCTATTTATCTGAGCAAAGTGATAGTTAGAAATATCTTAGAAAGCTATTGGGAAATGTCAAACGAAATGAATAGTCTGTGACATTTGTATCATTCAAATCATTCGTTCCCAAAAGCGCTTGTGACTTTATAAGTTAATGAAAAATGAAATTAAACAAGCACTTTTGAATCGTCCAAAAATATTTTTCCCCTACCACTTGTTCAGGACGTCTTTTAGCTGACAAGAAGAACAAGCGAAAGAAACTTACCAGCTCTTTATCATAAGTAATGAAATTTATATAAATCATGTGATTACCAAAATAATATGTATTATCACAATAAAAAATACAACTTTCAAAGTCTGTAGGACATAGGTTGTACATATAATTAGTCGTTATAGAACAAAGCGATGGCTATTAATTACATGCATTGCGGTCCTTAAAATAATCATCAACTTTATAATTGCCTTTACTCATATGTATATTCTTTACATGAATTTTAAATTTATTTATGGGTAGGTCAATTACATTTTGTGAAACTTTATTGAACATAGCAATGCATTTACCCAGAAATTATCCTCTGGTTTTTTGAAATCTGAAGCTTGGAACGGCAAGTTTATTTTTATTTCTTGTGTTGAGATTATGAACACAATTCCATAAGTCACTGTCACAACCGGTATACGTTTGAAAGGGATTGTGGTAGATTTTTAAAATTAGATAGTAGGTTTGATGATAGTGTATAAAAAATAAACTATTTAAACCGGCAGCCTATTTTCGTCAGATAATAGAAAAATATTAGAAACGCTATTTTTTTTTTACTTCAATTCAACAAGAAATAGCTTAGATAACAGGCATTAAAGTTGAGGAGTGGGAGCTCGCTACGTCACAAGTACGTAGAGAATGCACGAAGGCCTGACGTCATGTGATATTTTAATTCAATGTATTAGAGTAAGATCCCAGGGCTCCCAGGCGTTACCTATTTTCGAAGTAACGAATTTTACGGTATAGACTTTTACTTGCAGCCCTGGGAGCTTAGACTATCGGTCAGTTGCACAAACGTCCATTAAGGTTTAATGATGCCTGTTGCCGACAGCCTTACCATGTTTTTGATATATTATTACTGGTTTTTAATTTATATTTTTTTTACTTTTTGACTTTGTCAATGTATTCTCAATGTATCTTGCTTTTGTACGTTGGTCAACAATAAATCTTTCTCTGTGCTATAAATATATATTATTAAACGATCTACAGTCCTCTGTGCTTGCTGTCGATTACAATGCCTTTAAGGTCTAATGAATGTCAAATTTGTATGGTAATGTCGCTTTAAACTAATGACAATTTTAATGGAAGTTTGTGCAACTGGCTGCATATCACCGTAATTTATTGATTAGATTAAAAAAAGTGTTTATTGTTTTTCAACAAATCTACCTGACGGACGAAAAAAGAAAATTATAGCATTAATGAAAAATGCTTAAAAAATCCATTTTGTTCCTGGTACTCTGAGATGGGATTTTTTTAAACATTTTTCATTAAGAATATTTTCATATATATAATATAATATATATAACTAGCTTTTGACTGCGACTTCGTCCGCGTGGTAAAGTCACTTTGAGCAGCATTTCTGGTGAATATTTATTCATTATATAATACATTTACATCCTCCATCATCCCTTATTTTATCCCGATGGGGGTTGAATTTGTCAAAATACTATTTAAGCGGACGTCTTCATCATTGTAACTCTAATCTTTCATTACAGTTCAGTAAGTCGAAAATCTAAAACGATTTACATAAACTTTTATCCCCTGTTTTACCGCCTTAGGGTGGAATTTATTAAAATCGTATCTTAGGGGATGCCTACGTCACAGTAGAATTGATAGAATTGTTTAGAATTGATCAAAGTTTCATACAAACTTTCATCCTCTATTTTATCCCCTTGGGGGTAGAATAGATCAAAATCCTTTCTTAGGGGATGCCTACGTCATAACATCTACCTGTATGCCGAATTTCAGCCCGATCCGTCCAGTGGTTTGGGCTGTGCGTTGATAGATCACTATGTCAGTCAGTCGCCTTTGAGTTATATATATATATTTAGATATTTAGTCGTGACCCCTACTACTGTATTTAATCCGTGGACCCCTGTATTTAATCCGTGGGAGAGCCACGCTTCGGCATGAATGGGCCGGCTCGACCGGAGTGATACCACGGCCTCACAGAAAACCGACGTGAAGCAACGCTTGCGTTGTGTTTCGTCGCGTGAGTGAGGGTACCGGAGGCCCAACCCCTTCCTATTCCCTTCTCTCTACCCTCAACCCTTCCCTCAAAGGCCGGCAGCGCGCTTGTAGCCCCTCTGGTGTTGCAGGTGTCCATGGGCGACGGTAATCACTTACCATCACGTGATCCGTCTGCTCGTCTGCCCCCTATCCCATAAAAAAAAACTACATTGGATTTAAACCTTAATATAATTTCACTCTCATTCTAATTATTAATTAAATTTTTAGAGCATGGCTCTCCTAAAAGATCACATGTGGGTGCACACCGGTGAAAAAAGATTCAAATGCTCGTCCTGCGATAAGAGTTTCACGCAGAAAACTAATCTCGTGTTCCACATGAGAGTGCACAGTGCACAAAGGCCTACGTACGAGTGTCCACTGTGCGGGAAACACTTCGCCTTCTTCAATAACAGGAGGCGGCACATGTTCGTGAGTATAGTGGTTTATTTTTTGAATTTGGAACGTTAGCCTTCTCCAATAAGGAGAATTACGGAGTACAGAGTTTTGTTTTTGGATTTGGAACGTTAGCCTTCTGTAATAAGGAGAGTTGGTGAGTGTACGGTGGTTTGTTTTTTTTGAATTTGGAACGTCAGCCTTCTTTAATAAAGAGAGTAAGAATTCTTGAATAACGAATATTAAGCTCAACTCAGTGTAGTTGGTATCACTAGCAACATTTTGTAAAAAAACAGACATTTTATGTTCCTTCCTTCTTACGTCCAAATATACAGTAATGATGTACAGATATACCCAAATATACAGTAATGATGTATTATTGTATAAAATTACACGGCACAGACCTTTTTTATGAATGGTATCGAAAAGAATAACGCGGGGCCAGTGCGGATTTGTGGGTGTTAACGAGCCAGATGCAGCCCGGACCAACGACCTAACATTTCGAAAAAAAAAAAATACCGGTCACCCATCCCGTTCCAGGCCTACGAGAAAGTTGCTTAACTTTTAAAATTTTGCAATTCTACAGATCCACACCGGCTTGAAACCCTTCAAATGTGATACGTGCGGTAAATGTTTTACTACTTCGGGGGAGCAGAGAGCTCACGTGGAACATGTACATTTGAAGAAACCGTGGCCCAAACGAGCTAGAGGCCAGAGACAATCTAGAGATATGCAAGAGGACTGGCATAAATGCGCCATGCAGCATATGGAAGATTGAAGTTTAACAGCTTAGTTTTAAGGTCGTATTTTATCTGGCAGCTTTTTCTTCCGTAGCCTTCCTTGTCGCTCAGAACCTTTTACTAGACTGAGATAGATATCTTGCTGTTTATAAACTTGAGTTATTTAAAACGCTTTTCATGATATACAGCCCTTTTACGTCCCTTAGGGTCTCAGGCCTTCCTTATGGATGGTTAAGGAGGATTGGAAATGACCCTATACGCTTTAACTAACACGAAGTGCGAGATAATAATTTTTCGGTCACCCATCCCATGCCCGACCCTTGCGAAAGTTGCTTAGCAACAACAAAATTTTCGTGCGTGACGCCAAAATAAATTTTGCCAACGGATATTCTGTCATCACTTCAATTTGTAGATATCGAACGAATATAGTTTCGTCCACTTATTATTTTTTCGCCCAATTTATTATTTAACTCTGATAATTTCAATTTAAGTTGCTGATAGTAGTTGTTAGCAGCTTATTTAAAGTATATTTCTGACTTTTAGTAACTCATAATTATCGGCATCTTAGTACATTTTTCGGAAATATAATTTAACACCCCATGGTTATGTATTAAAGTATCTTGTTAATAGTCGCCCATATATTATTTTGTCGTCCGATTAATAATTCTCCATCAAATTTTTTTAGGGGCCGTCCATTAATCACGTGAGGCTCCAAGGGGGGGGGGGGGGGGGTGTATTCGTAAAAAAAATCAAGGATGTAGTAATATCACGTGTATTAATTTTTTCCTCAAACGCGCGATTACTAAACCGAAAAGCGACGTCAAAAATTAAGATCTTTTGTTTTTTTTTTTAATACACGTGATTTGGTTGAAGGAGAGAGGGGGTAGTCTAAAACCTCACCATGTATCACCAAGGGGGAGGGGGAGGGGACAAAAAATGTTGAAAAAAATATCACGTGATTAATGGACGGCCCCTTATTTAAAAAAAAATTGCTGGCAAGCGCAAGTCGGACTCGTACCATTATCCATAAAAAACGCAAAAAAATCGAGTTAAATACATTTCGTTGACTGTTACTCGTAAATTGGTAGAGCCAAGTTAAATGTGATTTTTCATATTAAATTCGTTATATATAAATATCAATAATGTAACGTTCGAGTTTCTAACAATAACCGTTTAGTTGGTAGGGGGGGGGGGATATTTGACTCTAATGAAAATTGAGCACTTTGAACTTCCCACACCCTTAATGTCTTTGTGTGACCTTACCGACGATAACCTTAGCAATGGAAGATAAAAAAAAAAAATTACATGTAGGGGAGGAACCCGAAAATATTTTTTTTATAAATGATTTTTGTGTAAATTTCACCGTTTACGCAGCGCACTAATGGGAAGCTTTAAAAAAGTAAAATATTTTACCGTTTTTGTAAAAATTTTCATTGCTACTCTTCTATAAATTATAGCGTGATGTTATATAGCCTATAGTTTTCCTCGATAAATGGAGTATTCAACATAAAAACAAAATTCAATACGTTCCTGAGATAAAAGAGTTCAAACAAACAAACTCTTCAGCTTTATTATATATAGATTTACGGAAATTTTATAATAAATTTTCAATTACATTCTTTTGAAAAATTTTTTTTATTAAAAATTATTGACCGTTTTTAAAAGCCTTATTTTAAAATCTAGCGTAATCCCTTTCAAAGGTAAAGCGATTTATGTAATTATGTAACGTATATATTGAGGGAGTATTTAAAAAAAACAAAACACTCTAAATACACCTCCACTAAATGGCGACTCTAGCAAAAGTTGATTTTTGCAGGAAACGAATGGACCAAAGTCATTTCCGTTCCTTTTAACTAACATATTAAAAAACTGAAATTTTCAAAGTTCGAAACTTAGAAATCAATACAAATACTAAAAAGTACAAATAGAATATGAGTTGTTTATTGAGTTTTGAAAATTAATTAACTTTTAAAATGAAAACCGGAAGGGTTGTCATGGAGAAATCGAGAACGTACTGTAGCGACATCTAGTTTGATTTCTGGAACGAATGTTTTTTTTTAAATACTTCCTCATTCTAAATAACTATATCGTTTTTCAATATCTTTCAAAAAACGTCGTAAACGCAATCGTTGTAGCGTGAAGTCCGTGAATAACATTCAAGCGTCAAATTGGAAGGGATTACGATAGTTTTTAAAATAAGACAGACCCTGTTTAGGATTATGATAAAATTTAAGCTCGATCGAATGAATGATTCATGTTGGGCGTTGTTCTTATGAACTGAATTAAACTTACTGAATGGTTCACTAATGTAGGGCACGTGATAGTATAGAAATTAAAACCCCAGGAAGCGGAAAAAAACAGTCGTTGTCGCCATTTTGTTTTATATACACCGATGTAATTTGAATTATAGCAAAAATTTAAGCATATGTAGCCAAATCTTATATTTAATTGTAACAAGACATACTTGAATCTTTTACAGTACCTTTAATTTTAATACTCTAAATTATAACCTTATTTAATTATAAGTAACGTTACTTTACATTTGGCTGTACGAGCTTAATCCATTTGCCTGTAATTGAACAAAAAAATATTTTGAAAATCAAAGAGATGTTCAGTCAGCCATACCCTTAGAAGTTTTATTTTCAATTATTATGCAATAATTGTCAGAATCAGTATTAGTGTTAATATTATAAGGATATATAGCATGTAGGAGAGTTTAAAAGATCTCGCTTTAAATCACGATTGATATTTAGTTTTAATGACAATTGGATTTTTTTTTAAATAAAATAATAAAGACTTTTTTATTAGACGTAAAAAATATTGTATTTAATAACCACAAATTATTTATATAATTTTTAATTTGGATTGTAATATATTATTTGAACGAGTTTGTAATTTATTGTAAGTGATATATATGAAACTTAAAGATATTGATGATTTATTACCAGTGGTCGGAACTAGGTAGAGTTATTCATGCACTTACACTGATTTCATACAGCGAAAGAATAAAGTGGATATGCCTCAAATCCCGAGATTAATTTTAAAAAGCAGAAAAAAATCCCGTGATTTAAAAAAAAAAAGTTATTTACTTTTACACAATTAAAACTACTGCACGCACGACGTTGCCAAACTTACATCAATGACATCGGATGTCCAAAGTTGCAAAATACCAATACTCTACCTAATTCCGACCTCTGTTTATTACTCTTGAATTAGTATTTGAATTAAATTAAAATCAATTGTTTTGAGCTGCATGTCACGTGACAAACGTTAATCTAAAATGTGTGACGTCATTCCAATCTGTCAACTGTCAGTGTCATTGTCAAAACTCGTGAAACTAAACTATAAAATAATCTAAATCATAAAGTTGTGAATTAGAATAAAAAGATGTATTTATTAATATATCCAATAAACCGTACGATTGCCTGTTACTGTTAAAATAAGTATAAAAAAGATTGCTGGACATAATGTCCATGCATTAAAGTGCATGGTCGATTTGGCGCCGAATTCAATGGTCAGACCTTTGTATAATGAGGGAGTATTAAAAAAAAAACGAAAGCACTAAAAAACCACCTCCACTGGATGGTATTTCTAGCAAAAGTTGATTTTTGCAGGAATCGAATGGACCAAAGCCAGCCATTTCCGTTTCTTTTAACTAAGATATTAAAAAACTGAAATTCGAAAAAGTACAAATAGAATATGAGTTGTTTATTGCGTTTTGAAAATTAATTAACTTTTGAAAATTAAAAAACATGAAAGAAACCGGAAGGGTTGTCATGGAGAAATCAAGAACGTACCGTAGCGACATCTAGTTTGATTTCGGGAACTAATTTTTTTTTAAATACTTCCTCATTCTAGACTCTTGTATAATTATGTGGAAAATCATTTTTTATTAACACTTGTAGTTTCATTAATATATTTTATAAATTTTGCATTGAAAAATATTTTTAAGAAAAATGCTTTAAAAATCCATCAGCCATTACTTTCGGAAATTGGAAAAACTACACTCACTGTAGCGAAAAGTAACGGGCGCTTGAAAAATTCGTCTCAATGGTTAAAGCGGTCGCCTGGTAAGCGAAAGGTCGAGTCATCAATAATTTTTCATTAAAGATGTACACTTTGATTTTAAAATTTTTTGAAAAATTGTCAATAACTCTACTATAAATATTGCTTTGTGATGTGGATATAAAAAAGTATGTCTTTTTATAATTTAGGTATTTAGATTAATTTAAGTTATTCTAAATACATTAATAAGCATGTAGTAGGAAGCTAGTTGACATAGACTTGATGAAATGATGATATTATTTATATTTATATAATATTAAGATGATGAGAAAGTACTCTTATGAAAAGAAACTTGTTGTTTTATTTAATGCCGTAAGACTTGATTCCTTTATCAAAATGAAATTAAAACAAAAACTTTTCGGCGCGAATCTGTAAGACTCGTATGGGTCCGCGCATTTTATTGACTAGTTATTTTCTTGCAACTTTCCCCGCGTAAGTTATAACCTATGTGACCCACGTATGATTTAGCTTCCCACTGGTGAAAGTGGGAAGCTACATCATACGTGGTGGTTTTTTTTTAAATCGGTCCAATGGTTTTGGAGCCTGTTCGATGCAAACAAACAAACACATATTTCCTCTGTATAATTAATAAATATTAAACAACATCGCATACGTTGCTCAGATTAAAAAATGAAATGGAGTATCTGAGATAACCACAACCCGAGGCAATATAGAAAATTCCTCTTTCTATATTGTCCCGACCGAGAATCGAACCCGGAGCCCTGACATAGGGACACCTTTAAACCGGCGTGCGTGCCACTGCTACGGAGGTTGTATTAGTGTAAATAGCGTAGAAACTAATAGTTAGGGAAAGATGATAGTCATAGTCAAAAAAAAGTAACGAAAAATTAAGCAGGGAGCTTAATTTTTCGTTACTTTTTTTTTATAAAAAAAACCTTTATTCTATTATTCGTAAAACATGGCCTTGTTTCTTATTTGCATGAGCGAGTAACGAAATTTTGATGGGATACTA